GCATACTTTTTATTACATTTCCCTGACAGTAACCAATATTCTACATAGTACTCAAAAGTCACTGATACTGTTATTTATTACTGATCCACCAGGACCAGTAAAAGTGCGTGGGGGGGGTGGGGGGGAGAGGAAGCCATGTTTTGCAGAAAATAGCTTCATATTTTACAAGTTCAGTCACAGCTATGGAGCATACCACATGCAGAGCTGAAAGTTAAGACAGATTACTGTATCTGTCACTATGCAACTGAAAATAACTTACACAAACATAAGAAAAAACTAATTTGAATAGTCACAGGCAATGATGAGACAAAAAGGTGTAAGCAAATATCATATACTGAACACTAAATTTACATGAATTAAGACTACAATCTTATTACTGGATTTGAAGTGAGTACCATCCTCAGATCAAGCACTTTTATTGCACGTGTGTAGTGTTTTAACTGATGATGTGTTCCACTGAATTCTCTTACTTATCTTTCTTCAATCTCTCTCATCAGAAAATTTGCCCTTATGTATTTCTAACTTGCTATAGCCAAGACTGATGATTAAAGCATGATGACCTAGTAGGTCTTTTCTGTCATTCTATGAAGCAATGTGTACAGCTGTCAGAAAAACTCTGATAAAAGTCTTGTCTTTTTTACTGTCAAACAGGTGGCATCTTGCAATACAGAGACTATAGTGTATAGGAATAATAAAAATACTGTCAGGCTGACATACTCAAAGTAAATCTACCTTAGAAAATGTAACTGGCAATGGCTAGAAGAAGAGCCCACTGATTTAACTGACTCCCTATAGATGACTTCATGTTTTGATGATTTGTTCCTGTTTTGCTCCTGCATACTGATCCTTTTTAAGCTGATCTGAGAGAACTCTTATTACTTCTAAAAAGAAATTAACAATAAGCATCTTATTTCTTTCTTAACAGCTTATTGTTCAGCTTATTGGGAAATATCAGAAGAAATGAGGCATCACTAACAATCTAATTAAGGTAGACAGTGGTATAGAGAACAAGGACCAATAAATACAGGTTTCATCAGGAATTTAATTATTGAAGATCAAGACCTATTTTGCAGTAAACTAACACTGAGTACCAGTCCACATGTGAAAAAATTAAATAAATGGAATACAATGAAACATAGGAGAATTTAAAGCAAGGAACAATAACACTAAGAAGGAAAGGATTTACCTATTCTGGCACTAATTAAGGAATTAAGTTTCTGTTGTTTTTGGTTTTTTACTCTCAAAACAGATCCTTCTTCCTATTACATTCAAAGACTCCTAAACAAATTTGTCTCATCTTTTACTATTTAGATGAACTTTATGTTCTAAAAGTGATGGGGAGTGCTCTCTAACAACCTACAGGCAAAAATAACCGCATACAGAGTAATTACAGCATCCGGTTTCTTCAAAAAAATATCAAGACAATGCAGGCAATCTGCTCCCAAGATGTTAATTAGTTTTCACATAAGAAAAATTACTTGTGATAGATTTAAAGACACACAAAAAGGCATAGAGAGAAATGGATAGACACATCATCCAGCTGTAGAAAATAAGAAACTGATTTGGACACTGCATCCTATTTGGTAGAGGACCAGTGCAATAAGCTGTATTACATGCATAAAGTCAGAAACTTGAAATGGAAAGCCAAGGTTTTCAATGTTTAAAAAAAAAAAAAAAAAAAAAAAAAGGAGAAAAAAGTACAAACAGTTGTATTGCATACTCATGTGAAGAAAGATCTCATCTTCTGTACTCAGAACACTCCATTGTATTAGTGGAAGAGAGTTGCAGTTGCGGCATTTTGGATGCTCATCTAATTCAGACATCATGGTGAATCTAAGGCCAGTGCAGTATCAAAGATCAGCACACAGTAATCAAAGCTCTTTTGTAGGTGCAGAGGAACTACAGCAGTCACTGACATGTATCCCAGTTAGACAAACGATAATAAAGGCTGATGTGATAGGATTGCCTCATACAAGTGCATTGTTCTGTGCAAGTCCCATCCCCTGAATAAATATGTTCAAGGAGATCTACAAACTGAGAATTCCAATCAACCAGCATTGCAGCAACAAAGAGCCCATTAAAACACACACTAAGAGAATAAATGGATAAATGAAGGCAGACACCAGGGAGGATTTTTTAATCATAAAATAATAATAAAAAAAAATTATTCTAAGTATCACATTCTTCAGTATTCCTCCCCATCATAAAAATCTCTCAGACATTTGGGCATTTCTTATGTAATGATAATTTTGCTCCTCTTCTTAGACATATTCAGAATGCTTTGCATAGTTTGACATGCATCCTCTTACTGCCTTCACTGCCTCCTCATGAGCTCTGGGATTAGTAGCAGGAAGATTTTATAGTTCATTTGAAGTTACATATTTGCATTAATGTTACTGCTGACAGGGATTCCTCAGCAATACATACATTACTACATGTGAGATAGACTTGATTCTTAACTGTTATGTGCCAATAAGGTTAAATCAAATTCTGTGATGTCGCATAAAATTAAGATTGAAAATTTTCTGATTACTGATACATGGACGGTGAAAGCATTTTGCAACAGACAGTATTTGAGTTCAGTGAAGGAAAAGCAAAATGCCCCCAAGGATTTTCATACAGCTCTATAGCCAGGCAGGTTTTCAAGGAAATTAGATTAATCTGATGGAGAACTTATTTTCCTAATCTAAAGGCACTCTAAACGTAGAAGTCTTGAATATCTTTCTTTTTCAAGGAGAAAAGTTTTCAGAATAATAGGTAATACTTTGGAAAACTATGGGAGAAAATTTTGCTTCAGCTGCCCCAAACCAAGTAGGTTATAAAGGATTTCTTTTTTTTCTTTTTTTTTCTTTTTTTTGCCAAAAATCGATTTATTTGTTAATATTAAACTTCTATTCGCTGCTACCTCTGCTTGGCAGTTACTAAGCTTTGGCATTTCTCCAGCTGTCAAATATCACTAAAACCAAAACCTTTGGCTTAGTTTTCTGTTATATTAATAAATTATTTAAGAAGCAATCAAACTTGCACTGAACCTTGAGAAAGGTATTAGCTGCACACTAAAAGACAGTAAAAGCCATGCTTTTGTTACCGTAATATTGACCTACTAAGTAAGAAGTACAATGTGATTAACAAGTAAGTGCTCCTGAAGGGTTATGCTCTAGGACATAGCTACCTAATGTGGACAAGGAATACTTGAAGTACATCAGCCTTTACGCTGAAGAAGTGAATAACTTCATAGTATTACAGAATGGATTGGCTTATGAATTATACGGAATCATCCATAAGGATGATTCAATTCCAACCCTCCATAGACCAGGCTGCCCAAGGCTCTATCGAACCTGGCCTTAAACATCCACAGGAATGGGGCATCCACAGTTTCTCTGGACAACCTGTTCTAGTGCCTCACCACCCTCTGAATAAAGAATTTCTGACTAGCGTTTAACCTAAAACAGTCCTTTTAATTTAAAGCCATTCCCCCTTGTCCTATCAATATCTGCCCATGCAAAAAGTCCTCCTGCTTATAAGCTTTCAAGTACAGGGAGGCCTCAGTGAAGTCTCCTCTGAGCCTCCTCTTCTCCAAACTGGACAAACTCTGCTCCCCCTTTTCTTATAAGAGAGGTGACCTGACAGCAGGACAAGGGGAAATGGTTTTAAGCTGAGGGAAGGGAGATTTAGGTTGGATGTCAGGGGGAAATTCTTTACGGAGAGAGTGGTGAGGTACTGGAACAGGCTGCCCAGGGAGGTTGTGGATGCCCCGTCCCTGGAGGTGTTCAAAGCCAGATTGGATGGGGCCCTGGGCAGTCTGGTCTAGCATTAGGTGGAATGGTGGTGGCCCTGCATGTGGCAGGGGGGTTGGAGATTCATGATCCTTGAGGTCCCTTCCAACCCTGGCAATTCTGTGATTCTGTGATTCTGTGACCCTGCCCTTTGATCATCCCCATGGCCCTCTTCTGTATCCACTCCAATACCTTCATATCTTTCTTGTGCTGGGCGCCCCAGATCTGTACACAGTACACTGGATGGGGCCTCACGAAGGGTGCAATCCACTCCCTCAGCCTTCTGGTGCAAGCCTGGGATACTGTTAGCCTTGAGATACAAGCACACACAGCTGATGAGCTCAGCTCTTTATCCACTAGGACTCTCAAATCCTTCTCTACAGGCATGCTCTCAAGGTGTTCTTCTCCAACTCAGTCCATATGGGGGTTGCTCTGACTCAAGTGCAACACGTTGCACTTGATCTTGTTGAACCTCATTCCAATCATGTGGGTCCACTTTTCAAGCCTGTTAAGGTTCCTCTTGATGACACCCCTTCCTTCTATTGCATCAAATGCACTACTTCACTTCATATAATCAGCAAACTTGCTGAAGGTACGATCAATTCCACAATCTATGCCTTTGATAAAGATGTTAAAGTGTACTGATTCCAAGAAGGACCCCTGGAGGATACCGCTCATGACCAGCTTCTACATGTACATAGATTCACTGACCACACCCTCTGGCTGTAACCATCCAGCTTCTACAGTTATTCATCACTTTGATTCCTTGCATACTTTTATTTCATATACTACATAACCAAGTTCCTTGCTACCTCCCATGGACCCTCAAAACATAGTCAAAAAATAAGGCATAAAGAATTTAAAGTGTTCCATCACTCACTCACTTTTTCAAGGGTTCACAAACACTTCTTCTGCTTTGTGTACAGACTTGCATGTCATAGAGCAGCAGGAATGTGTGCCTGTACCCTCAGGAGAATGCACGTACTGAGAATATGGTGGCTGAATATCATTTATGAAATTGCGGATAGCTCCAGCTTTGCAAGGGACATACTTTTCTTTACCCAGAAGAGGAAATCTGAAGTATGGATCTTGCGTATGCCTTTAGGAGACTTGGCATTAGTCGATCTGAACTGCCAGACACTCTAGCAGTATAGGATTCAGTCTAGAATCTGCAGCTGGACTAAAAGAAAGTAGATGCTTCCTTCTACTTAATGTTTTGCCAGATCAAGACTACTCCTTCGTGCTAAGATTTTGGACAAATTAATATCTTGTCCACAGCAGATACACGTTCATCAACAACAACAGTTTAATCTAATTTTAAACTACTGAAATCAATTGAGTTAGGTAGGATTTACACAATACACTCTGTGCACAGAATCTAGTCCTTCGGTTGCCTTACACTATTTTCATACCGTGACCTATTCAGCAGTTTCCTTAGGATAGGAAGGCTTAAAAAAGATCATGGTAAATGAATGTGTCGTCTCACTTGTAAACTTCATGTACTAGTCCATTTATTAAACAATTGTGTGTTATGTACGTGCATATGTCTGTATGTATCTGTGTAATTGAATACATACTGCAAAGATCAACAGAAAAATTGTCTAATAACACTTAATTTAGTAAAAAAAAAAAAAAAAAAAGTTCATTCATTTATGGCTTGAGCCTTAAGAAAATGTTTGGAAGTTTCCTTTTGCATTCAGATTCCAGGCTACCTTGTACACACAGCTGATCTAACAGCAGCAAATCTTCTCCCAGAATAGTCCAGGATGCATCATCAAGGTCTCTATAACTGTATTTCACTAACTGCTTCAATCTGGCTGCAGCTTTCCCCATTCAAGTCCTTCCCTGTCAGCACCTAGTTCCAATCAAGCTGCCATTTCTAAAAGCAAAAACACACATTCTTTAGTCAGTACCTGTTCTACCTTCTCCCTATCCATAGTTTACTTTAGTATCTGATTTTTGTCTCTGACCTGTTTGTGTATCACTTGTACACTTGAACAGCAGGCAGACATACTTTTCTAGGGAAAAAAAACCAAAACCTTAGTACATAAGTCTGACTGATATGCGTGTACTCATTTTGCTCATCACTATATTCAGTTTCTTAATGAGATTAAAACATTTATCAGATTGGTAGAACTGTATTTGACTGGGTTGCACTTAGAAAAAAAAAGTTCAATCCAGATCTATTCTACATAGTACATGCATTGTTTCTTCTGTTTCCAGTTTATTCTTCCATTAGCATAGATAATGGACAAGAAATATTTACGATATCCTCAGAAGACCTCAAAAGTATTTCAAGTCTCTTTTTGCCTCAATAAAATGCTCTAAAACCTTAACGTAGTTTTCAGAATTTGAAGAACACCATTTTAAAATCTTTTACACAAAAATGTTAAAATATATTTTTAAAATAGGTCGTCTTTACTTTTTGTAGAAGTCATGCTAAGAATTCTGTTTACTTTAAGCTAGATGTTTTCTGCTTTTTAATGAGGTATGCACAGCCAGAGTTAATTATATTTTTTTCCATTAATACATAAATGTTTACAGAATATAATTTGATTTTTCAGGATTTGATTGTTTTAAATTATGACAGAAATAAAAATGGCCTGGTAAATATGATTCCAGAGTAAGAAAAGGAAAAAAGGAGATTAAAAAAATCATATGGGCCTAATTTCAATTCTGGACGAGTTCTTGTATAACATACATAATTGAAACAAACATTTCTGTATAAATGGGAATTAAGGATTGCCACTGTGTTTTAAATTTAAATTGTGTTATTTAGAAAGTGTTCTGGAAGAGCTCAGATCTCAAAATACTAACAATGTGTATGTATAGGTGGGATCATTCTTACTATGGCCATGAAGAGAAATTTAAGAGCTGTGATTCAGAATCACTGATTCCTTTTGTAATTACAACATTCTAATATTGTTTAAATGCCTGTGAAGTTGAAATGGTCTGAAAATCCATAGTAATTAGATTAAGACAACTTGCTGAGGCTCAGGCAAATCGTGTGATATTAGCATTTCTGGTCACTTCACACAGTGAAAGAAAGAAAGAAAATTAGGATGGACAATCTGTGAATACTGTGGGAATAAGGGTTTTATTTACTAAGAATTTGTATTTCCAGCCCACCTTCTAACTTTCCCACATGCTGCAGCCAGTGCCATAAGGAGCCATATTCAACACCTATGTGTCAAAATTCATAATGGCAAACTCTCTATGAGCAAAATATTCAAGGAGAAAAAAAAAGAATTGAGACAGTCACAGAGACAACAAGAACCAAAATGCTCCTATCTTTCTGCTTTGTGTCAGTCAGCAGGAGAAAAAAAAAATCCGTATCTTGGAAATTTACCCACACTTATTTTAAAGACAAGTAAGTTCAGCCTGTATTTCATATGATTCTTCAAGTGATACCCATACAGTTAAAATCATCAGTTGCTTTTATATTTCAGCTGATGAATATGATAAAAATAGGAATGCAGTACTCTTTATCCATTTATCTGAACGTTCTTTACAAAGATATACAGATGAAAGAAAGCACAAGAGTAACAAATGAGGAAATAAGTATGTTTAACTTCTCTCAGAAATCATAATTTACTTGGAAAGGCAAGGGAATGACTTCCAGCATATTTGAATGCAGTAGTCAAGTTTTATTCCATTGTTTCATATTATTATACCAGAGTTTATAAAATGACATTACAAAGCATCAAAACAGCTTCTACTAAGATTAATGGCAAAATCCCCAACACATTGTAGAGTTGTATATGAGTGAAATCCAAGATATCAGTATTGAAATTATACACATGATTTTTCAAGATAAAATGAAAACCAGTAGTTAAATGCTTTTCTATTTGTCCCTCTTTTGAAGAAAATAATGCACTCAATGTTATGGTGCTGATTTCCAAAAGTCTACACAGGAAAGGCATACAATCATCTTAGTTTTGTTCTCTCAAACTATGCTTTTCAAAGTCTATCACATATATGTACCATTTCCATTATTGATTTGGGATGGTCAGGAAATCAACTGGACCTCTTTCAGATGTGGTCAGATGTTCAGTAGGACTTAGCTTCCATTTTGCCACCAAAACAAATGAGATTATCAGCATAGACTCTGCACATGAGATATGGACTACTTCGAAAATTCCATGCATAAAGGTCATGGTTTTAATTGCCCAATGCTAGGTTGTTCTGAACATTTGACCTTCATCTAAGAATCAAAGTGGTGCCAAATCCTCTTTGGAAAGCCCTTTCCCCCTGCCTGTCATCTTCCCCCTATAAAAATCCTCTCTATTACATCTGCAGAACTATCAGAATAATATAGGATCTGCAGAAGCTCACTTGTTGAACTTACTACCAGTCATTCCTGCTACTCACTACTTCACCCAGGCAAATCTTTATTTGAATTATTAATGACTAGAAAAAAATAGAAAAGACTTTAAGCTAGCTTGTCCACTCTTGTGAATTTCTCAAGATGGACTTTGCCTAAAGAAATAGCTTCAGGATGCTGATGTAAATTCACATTTTGATGTATTTTGTATAGTTTGGCAACATCAGTGTGAACACGTGTTCATCTGTCTGATTTTTTTTTTAAAAGGGCTTACTAGACATTGAATTCAGTGATGCCATAGCAGTGTTTTTGTTTGCATTTTGTCCTGTTTATTACGTGCAGTGACTTCTACATGTATCCCATTCTCTGTCCCTATAAGAACTACTTAAGTACAGTTGCATTAATGAACATAGAGCATATTTAGATTGTATCAAGTATTCCACAGAGAGGCTTAGTTTGCTACTGATTGTAAATGGCATAAACACAAAGCTAAAGGATCAGCTTCCAGGAACATAAAAAAAATTACAATTTTATGAGCATCTTTTTTTGGATCCATGAGAAAGGGTGATCTGAGGATTTTGCCAATAAATGTGCACTTTTAAATTTATTATCATATTCCAAAGGGAGAAAGAATATGAAAGAGAAATAATGCAAATATTGAATTATACATAGAATAATACTAATAAATACTTAGAATAAGCTAAGAATTTAATGCTACAAGACTATTCACAAATATCCCAAACCATAAATACATTAATATAGCTGTGACCTTCCCTTGCCTATCTCTAGCCATCAGTATTTCCAGTTCAACCAAATGAAGAGAAAAATGACAGTTCTAATGTGATACTCTCTGAAAACACACATGGTAGTGAAGCTTTTCTGTTGGGATGACAGTTAGTTATGCTTCAATTATACAAAAATGATGAGGTTCAATATAAGCCAAGTGGACTAAAGGCAAGAGATGAAGCATGGTAGTTGCCGCATCTTAAAGTCTTTCTTAAACACATGAAGTACTGTATAAAATTGGCATACAAGCATACAAGAGAAGAAAAGGAATTGTTAGGAGAAACTGGAATATCTGTTTGCAAGTCAGTATGCAAGGTTTGATTTCTTTTCCTAAATTAAAAGTATTTGTTTTAACTTAATCATGTTTTGGAACAGATGCCCATATACTGTACGGTATAAAATGATTAGCATTTTCTTCAGCTGACAAAAGTAATACAGTGGAGAATTGGAACTTATTATAGATATTTACATTACTACAGCACAGCTTAACTAGATGCTACGCAATATAAATACAGTGGTTTTCAAGACAGGACACTGAAGAAGACTGAGACAAATCAGAGACCAGAAAGAGAATAAATTAACTAATGGAAAAACGCTCTGCAGATCTTGAGCATGAGTAGAAAGTGAATAAGAATTTTGTCTCTGCTCAGACTAAACCACATTTGCTAGAAAAGTCAAGTTCTTTAGACTTTGGTTGGAACTTGTCATCTTCTTTACAGCTGGCAACGAACAAGTTTTTATGTTGTACACAGTTCTCCTCACATGTTTTGCTTCAGACATTCTACCCACTTTAAAACGGTTAAATAAGACTGAAAATGAGAGCATTTAATCTTATATTAAAACAAAACAACTGCTCAGTCTGTAATCAACATATGCTTTGAGGTTTTGTTTATTTTCACGGAAAAGGAAAAAAGAGACTCAAAAGACTCGTATTTCCTTTGGGGTTGTCCCTTACCATTCTTAGTTTTGTTCCATAAATAAAATTAAAACAAAAGAAGAGCTGTAATGCTTCACAAAACCATGCTCCCGCTATGCATTGCTAGGTTGTTAACGGCCTATCAACGAGGTATTGAAAGGGAAATCACTTTTTCTTCAAGCTCCCTTTCAAATATTATCTCCGAACCTTCCTTTGTGTTCGTTTCTTTTCAAACGTTCCTTTAAGGGTTTTTGCCATAGTTGTTGCTCATGATAACAGCATGAAATGAATTAGCACAGTAGTGTAAAATCTGCTAGCTTTTCCAGATTATTTACAACATTGTAGCATGGAGGAACAAATGGAGCTTCATATCTGTTAGAGGCAATAAGAACAAACCAAGCAAATGGAAACAAGAGTGTGAAATAACTGCAAACAACTGCCGGTTCTGCTGAGTGAAATGCTATTGCTCCTGAAATCAACGGTATTTTTGCCAGTCTTGCCACAGGCTGTGGCGTCTCACTATTGCCCATCTCTACATCCTTCAAAGAAATCCCCAGCAAAAAAACACAGTCAATCCTAACGCTCCCCAAAGCCAACTCTTGATATTGTTCTCACACTGTTATCAAAGGAGTAACTTAACAGTACTGACCTCGTTCAACAAAGTGATAAGAGGGGATAAAAGAAAGTAGTCAACACAGTTGACTCATTCTCTTTCTCTCTCCGTGATCACAGAAATGAGATCGGCTCCCATGTAGATTAGTTCAAAGTATTCAGTCCAGTTTTCCCTCTATAATCCCTGGAAAGAAAAAAAAATAGAAAAGCAGTAGAGACTCATCCTCCCCTATACAAGCTATCTCCCCATTCCCCAGGATTTGGAGTATCAATAGAGAATATTTAAAGGATAACCGCACAGTGGATATTGCACTGGTATGTGCGAAAAAAAAAAGACGACATTCTAATTCTCCATATAGCTGAGCAGCTTTATTAGTTCAACAGTGATATAAAATACAAAGGCATACACCTCTAGAAATGTGCAGCAGAGGTCAAAAGACAAAATACTGAAAACACAGAAAAAGAGGACAGTTCTAGATTATCCAGATACTCTTACAAGGATGTTTATAACAAGGCTATTCTGACAAACATTCATTCCACCTCTTTTTCCCACTCTTTTTATTGCAACTGTTCTCATTGTTTGCAAGTAGAGAAGAATTTCAAATGAAGGAGTTACATTTTCAATAATACATCAAACATAATCTAACACATTCAAAAGTGATGGGGCTCATAGTAAATTACATGTTGCAGTGCCTCATCAGCTGAAGCTATTACTCCATTTCTTCAAGCCATTTTAAAAGAGCCAAGATACTGATGCTATTTACATCATGTATATAAATAACATGTATCTCATATTTATATAAGATGTGTGAGATAGGGGAACATTTCTGCAAGTGTTCATTTGAATTTTAACTTGAATTCACATCAGCACTGATTACACAATGGAGAGAGTGATTGTAACCAACTCTTTTTGAATTCTTTCCTCTTAGGATTTCAGTGAGTCTGTGCGTGATCTTTCTCAGAAACAGGAGCCTGAGATCACAAATGCAATATTTACGAAGAATGATATTTCAAGAATCGTTTCAGGAGAGCTCCTGAAGAGGCAGCGATCTGAAGACAAAGTCACTGGATTGTGAGAAATTAATAAAGAAAAAAAAGATTTTTCATCATATATTATAATCATAGTCACATAATATAATCATATATTTTATTAAAGTTGCTGTAATTTAATTTAAAATGCATATGTACATGTCAACACTGTAAAAAGTTCAAGTCTTGTTCAACAGATTTCTGAAATATTCAGTCTCGAGAAGTACTTATCAGTCAATGTCTTTTAATCCCATAGAAAACAAGATATACAAGGGCATACGTTCATTTTATGGGCATTAGTACAACTGCTAAGGGTATTTTTGCAAGGAACTTCAGTTAATTACATACATAGCAGTAAGCACAGCAGGCTTAGTATAGGACTATGCTTCACACTGCAAGTGAGAAAGATTTCCAAAATCCTATGCAAGAGAAAACATGATCCACTCACAGAAGTTTTAAGATTTATTGGGTATAAGGTGCTTTATCCGGCTCATACTATTTTACGTGGTGTAGGACATGGTTTCTCACAGGATGACCTTACTTCCCAAATTCTTTACCAGAGACCACAAGGGCAATAAGGCAGCACATGAAAAGGAGAATATAAGTGCAGATTTACTGTGTGAGGTCTCTGGAAGAAGTAGAAGAGAAAAAGCAATACAGAGCAATGCTCATTCATTCAGAAAGTGAGAATAACACAATCTAACTGATGGTAGATGAGGAGCATGTATAGAATTCTAAACACTAATTTTTGCATGTTTATTATTCAGTTCATAAAAAAATTATAGTTCCTTGAAACAATTAGTACATATGAACAACATGCATATTTAAGAAAATTATAACCCACACTAAGAAACTGTATTATGAAGAGGTCATTTAAAATTTATTCATATCATTCTCCACAGTTATTTAAAGTTACGTTCTGCAATGCCATATCATGCCATATTAGAATTGTCTACCAGAAATACCACACAATGCCTCTATGAAATCCTAACTGGAAAAAAAAAGTTTGTCTACTTCCCTACACTTGTTACACTTCTGTTTTCTCACTGGTATGGAAGCTATTAAATAAACTTCTGTCTTCTGACATGCTTTTTAGTAATAAATTCAGTTAATATTAGCAAGGACTCATGACAAAACCACAATGGCTGAAGTACAAAAACACTGAAATTTGTAGGGATTCTCAATGGTCTTCAAAGTATCCCAACAAGCTGGTGACATCATAGGCATTCCAAAACCTACCACAGAATTAATGAATGAAGTCTCTTTCTCATTCATGTCAAGCAGTTGAGAAATCTGAACTCTGAGACCAAACAAGATGAAAGCCAGTATTTCAACTGTGGCCAATATTTTTTGATTGAAATTTGTATTGAATTGAGCCTCATTTTTCAGAGATAGAAAGCACTGCTGGTCCACAGTGAAAAAACAAACAAGGCAAACACAAACAGTGTTTTTGCAGACACTGTCCTTAGATAGTTTTTCTGCAGAGAAACAGCACACCATTAAAACACAGTGAGGAAAAGCTGTTTGTAGTCTTGCAGCTAAATCACCAAGATGATCTTTCAGCTGATGTATCTATGTCAAAAGCAGATTCATATAGTGGCATTTTACAGTTTACATGCATAATGTAATCTTGGAGATGGCTTTGCACTTTTAGTACATGACACTTGCTGAAATAGGACTGAGTCTCCAGCACTAGGGAACTGAATGTAAGGTTGCAATGTGACATGCCATGGAGCCATTAAAAATTCAGCTCTGGATCTCCAAGGAGAAACAGGGGAGAAGAGGGGAAAAAAGAAAAAAAAGTCACAACTTAACTAACATTAACTTTGCATATGAACTATCTCCCTTGTGCATGAAGGGGGAAGAAACTTCAATCATGCCAAGAAAAGATAAGGAAGCAGGACAGATGTACTCAATATAGTCAGGCCAATCAAGTGGTGATTCCAAGTAAAGGAACAGATTCTGAGGGCTCTTTGAAGATGAAAACTGGCAATGGGCACAAAGCCATTCTCGTAATGAGTCAGCACTGAATTCAGTAACACAGCCAGCACTTTGCCACTCTTGAGTAATAAGCTTTGTTTGGGGAATGTCAGCTCAATTTATTATAAATAGACTAAATTTGATTTTCCACTACATTGACAAATTATATGCAAGCAGTCTTAAGAAAACTTCCTCTGCTGCTAATGTACATGCGTTTATATTTCTTATATTTGCAGTAAAAAAAAAAAAAAAAAAGAGTGATCAGAACTGTTTGATTATGAATAAGGGAACTTGTAAAAAAAAAAAAAACAAAAAACCCTATGTTCCATATTGAACACTCCAGACATTTATGAGCACTTGATTTTCATTGTTAGGCATTAGATCCAAATGTTTAAAATAATATACCCTAATATTTAAAATGCAACTAAAAATAAAAAAGCGTATCTTATTAAGAAAAAACATTTAAATATTTAAAATACTCCAGCTTTAGGCAAAATACACGAGATAAGCTATGATGCACAGCAGTCAATAGGTTATTTACACATCTAACACACTATCAGAGCTCTAAGTAAATTAAACAAACATATTTAATTGCCAGGGTACCACCAGAAGAAAAATAGTGATTTCTTTAAAGTGTTATTTAATAGGAAAGGAACACAATGGCATTCCTTACAGACACTGAATTCTTATTAAGTATGCTCACTAGTATCATGACTACACACCAGCTTATAAGTGCATTTTCTACTTGTTATCAAGCTAGCAGCTTTCCTCCTCTCCTAATCCAGATCTTTAGCATTATAAAACTTAAAGAGTACTTGGTTTATATGAAAATCAAACAAGAAATCTTGAGAGCCTTTCCACTGTAACAGTTTCTCATTTGAACTTGCCTGCATAATTGCTACCTTCCAACTGAACCAAATTTAATGACTAAGATCAGAAATATAGTCTTCAAAATAATCCCGTCAAGCTAAATAACAGACACTGATTTTCTTGTCATGAGCCTCTGCAGGTTACCTGAAAGAGCTCCAGCTACATGAGGCCCCTGTGCTCCAGCTGACCTCTGCTGCTGTATCTTCTTTCTGTCCCTTAGGGCTGTAGTACAGCAGTGCTGTTGCATGGAAGCCTTGGCCAGAATTTAAAGAACAGCATTTTAGGGACAGAGAAGCAGCTACACAGGTGATCTATAACCCTGCCTCATCTATGGGTGTAGGGAGAGACATAACTGGAAGTAAATGAATTGAATTACTGTGTAACGGGAGGAGGGTGTTCTTTCTATCCCTTTGTCCTTTCTTTTTTAATGTAGCCTTCTGGAGAAGTTTGTCAACAGAGAACAGGGAAAAGTCCTCAAGAATGAAATGAGGGCACCCATCTCACTGTTAGCATGGGTGAAAGAGTCTCACTTATGTTTAAAAGCCAAGCAGCTTTGTGGATGACCGCTACCTTGAAGTAGGACACAGAGGTCTCCCTTTTGTAGAAAATGGAAATTATGGAATGATAGTAACCTACAGAAGTATTAGCAAGAAGTGCTTTTTGCTCAAAAGAAGAGACCTTCAAAAACAATCTCAAAGGCAGTTAAAAAACAGTGACACTACTGTTACCATGAAATGCAATTACTGTGTTCTACAGTATTGCTGAAGATTTTCACCTTAAATTAAGCAAACGTTCATTTTCGATTCTGTGATTTTGAGTAATTATGAACTTACACTACAGCAAAATAAAGGCTTTTTAAGTCCAAAATGGAGATCCTGAGATGAGACTCAGAAGTAAAAGCATCTGGCTGCTTCTGTTTCTCTTTTTAATAGGAAGCTCCTTAATGATAATTTTTTCTTGCCTTGCTGTTGTCCTAATTTGACAGCAAGTCTGTAGTAGTGAGCAAATTTGGAAAATTTGAAGTAATTCTCTGTGAAAGCACAGCTAGTCGAAAGAATTAAAGAAACTCTCTTTAATGTTATTGGCAGATTTGTACTTCTGATTTAAAATACTAATTAAAATTGTACTGAACAGTTTTAAACAGGAACTTACAAAAACATACAGTATGACTCTAAGCCAACAAAACAAAAACATTGAGCAAGAAAGTATTTAGATAGTTCTTATAACTCTCTTATCCCATTGGCTTATAGTTATAAAAAACTATTTCCTTATTACCTTCTATTTTCATCTGTCCATAATTAGACT